TATGTCCCCAAAGTTTCAGCCCTGTAGCTTTTGCCGATCTCGAGATGAAAAATCGGTACAGACGAAACACAGACACACACACATACACACGCACAGACACACACACAAATAACCCCTCGTCAATATGCGTTTTTTGCATTGCATAGCTGCAAAAAACGCGTAACAAACACACACTTTTGCGTCCTGTTCGGTTTTCTTGGCACCTTCCTTTTTCTGCTCATCGGTTTGTTTCTCCTTCTCACCCTCCTCCTTCTCCTTCTCCGCATTTCCATTTTCCTTCCTTGCATTTCCTTTTTCCTTCTCCTCACTTTCTTTTCTGTCATTTCCTTTCTTGTCCTGGTCATTTCCTTTCTTCTCCTGATCACTTCCTTTCTTCTCCTGGTCACTTCCTTTCTTCTCCTGATCACTTCCTTTCTTCTCCTGATCACTTCCTTTCTTCTCTTGATCACTTCCTTTCTTCTCCTGGTCACTTCCTTTCTTTTCTCCATCACTTCCCTTCTTTTCTTGATCACTTCCTTTCTTTCCCTTATCACTCTCCTTCTTCTCTTCGTCACTTCCCTTCTTATCTCTCTTTGCTTTTTCATTGCCTTCTTTCACCTCCGATTCTTTTTCTTTCTTCTCACCATCCGAGGACTTTTCTTCTTTCTTAGTTTCCTTCATTTCCTGAAGTCATTTTACATAATTTGTTTGCATTTGATTAGTAGTTCATTCAATTGCTAGCGCAATTTCTATGTAACTTATCTATGTAAAATTTGTCTGCTTACTTATATCCTCAATTCATTCTTCCAGGCAGTAATAGGGCAACTCACTGAGTGGCCGTTGGCCTTTAGAAAAGAGTGGTCACTTGGTGATACTCAACACATATCAGTAACATCTTAGAATAGCAAAACTTTGCTGATTCTTTCTACTGGGAGCACTCTTGAACCTTTAGAAATGAGGAATCAAGACAGCCAGCAGATGATCACTCAGCGGTATAGCAGTGGTCAAAGCAACTGAAAAAGTACCAGATCTGCATAGTCAAAAGACTACGCTTTGAAATAACAGTTGTTCTGAGTACCGAGTATTTACTATTTGCCAATTCCATTTTTTTTTTCTTTTCATTCATGCTCTAGAGGTGCGAAAGGCAAGCAGAATGATTAAAGACACCTACTATAGTCTTGGTTTTGGTTTGAGTATCCGCCGTAACCGATTTTTGCGAAGTAGCATCTGGATTTGTCTAAAAATCTTTTTGTCAAGTTAATTCACGTTCCTTTTTGTTCCAAATTAATCTAAATTTCTTAACGTGCTGATGGCTCCGAATTTACATCCGGGTGGTTCGCATCAGTGTGTAACGCTTTTTGCTGCAAAGCCTATTCGACAAGCCAAAATACTGACACAAAAGCTAAAGGGTTGTAAATAGGCTTCGTTGTATTTGTGAGCCATTCGGAGGGAGTGAGGCTGGGGAAGAGGAAGCCTTTTTTTTTATTTCCATTTTTTCTGCATAACTGGCAAGCTCCAGCTTTGACCTCACCTTCCACTACCTTATCTTCTTGCCCTCATTAAACCAAAGCTCCTGCACCACTTTTCATTTTTTTTTTTCTTACAAAAACAAGCATAAGTCCAGTGATCATAATTCAGCTGATGTCCTTAACGTCAGAGGTTCAAAACAGAGCAAGGGGGGGGGGGGGGGGGGGGGGGGGGGGGGGGG